ATATCAAGTAAAATGATTATGAATCATTGTGGCAAATTTTAATGCCGATCAGAAAGTAAATTAATCCAAATCTGTCTGACTCATCATGCTTTTTTCTTCAGATACAAATGAAGAGTAAACAATGTTTTGGCAATTTTTAGGTTAATCATGTAGAACTGATTACTCTAGAAGAATGCTATTAACATTTGGTCAATTTATACCCTACAATAAGGCAAATTAAAATTAATGTTGCTGTTTTAAAGATATCAAATGGGTCATGATTTTAAGAAAAATGAGAACTGTTATAGAAAATGCTAATGTTGTCTCTAGGCCCAGTGAATCTAGTAACTTCTAAAAAACCCACTTAAATCTCTAAAGCAACAGGACAAATAATTAAGTAAATATAACTCCAAATGAGGGAGTGTCTGTCTTTAGTTTAAGCAGATTATCTTTTAAAATATAATGAGGAATAATAATCAATTGTCAACCATTCCCTGTTGAATAGCAACAGTTAAATCTTGCTAATAGCTACATAACACAAGAAAGATCTTTTTAGATAGAATACAGTACCCTAATGAAGCTCTATTGCATAATTTTTCAATGTTTCTAATAAATTCTTCCCTTTAGTATACGTGTAATTCACTCATTTCAATACACTTTGTTGAAAATACAAATATGTAAATATAATTTTTAAATAATTCATTTTGTTTATAAAGTAAAATATGTAAAGAAAATATGTAACTATTAACTTTTGATCAGGTCTAAAATAATACAAACTACACATTATGACATAAATTATTGGACAGAAAATATTTTGCTTATTAAACATCTTCATAATTGTTCACCTTCCATCTTTCCACATATAATAATATCAAGTGCTTACAAGCTCCCACTGAGCCTCCTACCTTTAAAATGCATTTAATAATAATAGTGAGCATTATCTAAGGGTCATAAGGTGACAGCCATTGACCTTTCTACAGTCAATAATGTCACAGATCCATGCTGAGAAGTCATTTAAAAAATATACTTCTTTTCATACTGGCATACATGTGACATCCATTTGACCATTATCCATATCTGGCCATGATCAGTGGTGAATTCATCCACTTCTCGTAGCATGAGTGTTGTTGCCACATGGCTTGATCTACTTAGGCAACTTTAAAGTCCTTTGGCTTTCTATGTTTTCTTTCTTGAATGTAGCAGGAAGAAAGCTGGGAAACCTCTTCCTGATTTAAAGGATGGTGAAAGTGCTTCCAGCAAAGGCTCTGTTGATAGGCTTACTAACCCTGGACATATTTTCTCTGAAAGCCAACTCATTCTGCTCAAGCTCAATTAGTCCTGAATAGGTTAGGAATACCTAGGTCAATTCTAGAAATTAGATCATTCTGGTTTCTCCTAAAAAAGTACAACCTCTCTTTTTGTCAAAGGGACCCCCCCCACCACAAAAAAAATTAAAAACTGAATTCCCAGCCATGACGGGAAGGGAAGTCCAACATACCTCATTATACATCTTTCCTTTTGGAGTTTAGCCACAACTGACCAGCATTAATGTTAAACTAGACATCATAAGACTAACACAAAACAAACTTTTTGTGACAATAAGATACCAAATTATAAACAAGACCTACAGCTGTGCAAAGCAAGGATTAAGTCACATCTGCAGGCCATCAATGTTACTAAATAGCATCCTTAAAACATTTCTTTCTGCTAACTCCAAATTTTAGACAGCACTTTACTTCTTTAACCAATTGCATATTAAAGAATCTCTGAATTCACCTATAGCCTTTAAGCCTTCATCTCCACTTCAAGATAGCCTTTTTGAGCAAAACCAATGTGTACCTTCCATGTACTCAGTTAAGTCTGCCTATAATTCTTTATTCCCTAAAATGTATGAAACCAAACTATAATCTGACTGCCACAGGTCAGGACCTCTTGAAACTTTGTATCCCTGAGTTACAGTCACTCATATTGGCTCACAATAAACCTCTTTAAAATATTTTACAATTTGGTTTTTCCTTTTAACACTTCTCTGATCCCACATTGGCTATGCAGCAGTGAGATGCCATTGGTCACTTATTCAAATGCCATCCCAACCCTGACATTTTAAAAATAGCTTTATTAGCTGGGTATGGTGGCGTGTGCCTGTAATCCCAGCTACTCAGGAGGCTGAGGCAGGAGAATTGCCTGAACCCAGGAGGCGGAGGTTGCGGTGAGCCGAGATTGCACCATTGAACTCCAGCCTGGGTAACAAGAGCGAAACTCCGTCCCAAAAAAAAAAAAAAAATGGCTTTATTAAGATGCAATTTGAAAAGACACACTCTACCCTTTTGAAGTGTGCAATGCAGTGTTGTTTACCATATTCAATAAGTAGTGCAACCGTGGATTTTAGAACATTTTCCTCACCTCAAAAAGAAATTCCACAACTATTAGCAGTAACTTCCTAACCACATTTCTCTCCTACCCTCCAGACTTGGGCAACCTCTAATCAACTTTCTGTCTGTATAAACTTACCCATTCTAGACATTTTATATAAATGGAATCATACAATATTTGGTTCTTTGTGATCTGCTTCTTTCACTTAATATTTTCAAGGCATGTTACAATGTGTATCAGTACTTCATTCCTTGGTATTGCCAAATAATATTCCATTGTATGGATAGATCATGTTTTATTCATCCATTCATCAGTTGATAGACATTTGGATGATTTTACTTTTGGCTATTATGAAAAATACGGCAATGAACATTTGTGTACTAGTGTTTGTGTCAAAGTAAGATTTTATGTTTTCATTTCTTCAGTATACACTGAAGGGTGGAATTCCTGGATCATATGGTAACCCCAAGCTCAATGTTTTTAGAAAAATTATTTTTCTAAGCAGCTTTGACACTTTACATTTTCACAAGCAATGTATGAGAGTTCCAATTTCTCCACATCCCAACCAACACCTGTTATTATCTTTCTTTTTTATTATAGCCATCCTAGTGGGTACAGAGTAGTATATCATTGTGATTTTCATTTGCATTTCCCTAATGGCTAATTATTTTCAGCACATTTTCATGTATTTATTGTTCATTTCTATATCTTTGGAGAAATGACTATTCAAATCATTTGCCTATTTTTCAATTGAGTTTTCTTTTTTTATTGTTCTTTTAAAGGGCTTTATGTATTACTGAAGCAAGTCTATCATAAAATATATCATTTGCAGATATTTTCTTTCATTCTGTTCACCTTGTAATGATGTCCTTTTAAGCACAAAAGTTTTAATTTTGATGAAGTTTAGTTAATCTATATTTGATTTTGTTCTATTGGTTCCTTATTTAAGAAGACATTTCTTAACTTTAGATCATGACAATTTATTCCCCTGTGTTATTCTTACAATTATACACTTTCACCTCTTAAATTAAGATCTGTGATTCATTTGAGTACAGTTTTGTGTCCACTCCTAACTTTTATTCTAACTTCCTTTCTCTGGAAGGCAGAGTTGTCCTTCTCTAAAAGACAATACGTTTTGATTAATTGGTCAGTAGAAATACGGATTTTAATCCAGGTAAAATCTGTATTCCTTTCTTCTCTTTTTAGGCAATGACTTTATAGTTGTCTAACATTATTCATTTAAAAAAAAATTTTGTAGAATGATACAACCAACAGAAATCCCTTTTAATATTGGTTAGAGAGATCTGGGATACGGAATATAATAGAAGTTTGTTGTTTTTTAATTTTAAGGACACTAAATTCTGCTGGGCATAATTGAAGTCTGCTCAAGACTTTTCCAGGGTTAACAAAGAAGGGTAGGTGACAAGATGCCAGAGTAGGTAGAAAGATCATATAATCATCTGATAACTACGCATAAGGATAAGTAACTTCAAGTTGTAGGAAAAGCTGCGCCTGAAGACATGCTCCTCTCAAATCTCTTTGCAAATTCCTATTTATAAGGGAACATTGTTTATTACAATAATTGGTGGATGGGCCAAAATGCAAAAGCATTTTGAAATATTCTGTTCTGAACAGGATTTGAAATGCAGCACTGCTAGCTCCTGTGACACTGGCAGGCATCATTAGGTCAAAAGTGATTTCCAAGATTCTGAAAACAGTTCCTCATCTTAGTTCATTCAGGCTGCTATAAGAAAATACCATTGGCTGGGTGGCTTATAAACAGCAAAATTTATTCCTCACAGTTCTGGAGGTTAGGAAAGTCTAAGATCAAGGCACCAGAAGATCTAGTAACTGGTGAGGCCTGCTTCCTGGTTCATGGATGGCCTTCTTTTTGCTGCATCCTCACATGCTGGTAGGTGGTAATAGAGCTCTCTGCAATCTCTTTGATAAGGGCGCTAATCCCATTTATGAGAGATCCACCTTTATGACTGAACTACCTCCAAAAGAATTAGAATCTCAATATCTCATGTCGTTGATAAGGTTTTCAATTTATGGATTTTGAATTAGGTTATTAGGTTTTCAACATATGAAATAAATTCAGTTTATAGCATTCCAATCATTTCTAAATTATACTAGAAGCCCAGATGGACTTAACAATAGGCAAAGATCCTGCCATGATCATACATAGCTTATTAATTCCCAGCTGCCACTACAACTTGCTTGCTACTTATTTTATTATCAAGGGGCTCTGAGAGTCACTATAAAAATCAAGAAAATTGCCTTTTCTCAAAAATCTAAAGTGTTATTTTCTTATTGGATTATGTCAATGTCTTTACCACATTTTATAAATTATAGTATCTATACATTTGAAGTCATAGAGTAAAAAAGCCATGCCTTGTTATACATTTATGTGTCAAGGTGGGAAAAAGCAAATATCATAATCTCATATGGGTAAGTAACAGGCTTTTTAGGGAAATATAATTCAAGGCTCAGCAAAAGGGAGGTAAGACGTCTCTTGTTCCCTCTTAATCCAGAAGAAAGTCAAACTGGGACTATGGCATTTCTAGATACACAGTGGAATAAGAGTCAGGGGAAGAAATCCTGTCCCCTGCTCTTCAACATTCTCATGATACGAGGGTGAGAAAAACTTTCGACTTACTTTAGTTCCCTCTTATCTGTGGGGTTATATTTCAAGATCCCCCAGCGGATGCCTGAAACCACAGACAGTACCAAACCGTAAATACACTATGATTTTCTTACATAGCAGTAGGTAGGTAGTATAGATGGCATGAATACATGGGATAAAGGGATATTCTCATCCTGGGCAGGACAAAAAGGGACAGTGAAATATTTTACCACATTGCTCAGAGTATTGCTCCGTTTAAAATGGAAAGCTTACGTATTTCCAGACCTTTCCATTTAGTATTTCTGGTTGATCATAGGTAAACTACAACAAGTGAAACCATGAATGAAGGGGAGCCACTGTAATGTGTAAAAGAGAGCCCTTAGGGAGCAGAGTGTGAATTCTAATTCTTTGTGGGAATTCCAGCTGTAAAGGAAATTTTCTATGGGTACAGGTACATAGCATCTGGTAATTCTGAGGTAAGTTTGAGGTTTTTAGGGAAAGGAAGTCATTGCTTCAGTCAGTCAACCTGAAATACTGGGATTTTTACTAGACAATTCAACTAGTATTTCTTATGCTTTGTATTGTGCCCCAATATAAAACTCAGTGCCCTAAAAAATAGGCTATTAGTTAATACTTAATGAATAAAATATGCAGTATCAACATATATAAAATAGAACAGTAACCATTTTACTTTCTGTCTGGGACTATGGCATTGCTGGATACACAGCAGAATGAGTCAGGCGAAGAAATCCACCCAAATATAAAAAACTAGAACTCTCATTTTTTGTCCCCCCCATTTTTTTTTGGTTGTGGGGAGAGAGTCTCACTGTGTTGCCCAGGCTGGAGTATAGTAGGGCAATCACAGCTCACTGCAGCCTCAACCTCCCAGGCTCAGTTGATTCTCCCATTTCAGCTTCCCAAGTAGCTGGGGCTACAGGCACATATCACCAGGCCTGACTAATTTTTGTGTTTTGCGTAGAGATGGGGTTTCTCCACATTGCTCAGACTGGTCTCAAACGCCTGAGCTCAAGCTATTCACCCTCCTCAGCCTCCCAAAGTGTTGGGATTACAGGTGTGAGCTACCATGTCTGGCCATATTTTTACATAACAATTAATTTGCTGTACTATACTTTATAATAACTTATCATTTGGCTATTATTATTCCCATTTCCTAAGGCTCAATCAGTGATTAAATAACTTGTCCAGTGTTATATGGATTAACCAGAAGCTCTGTAATTTTAACCCAAATTGATCTAATTCCAAAGCCCATACTCTCATTTTGATAAGGTCAAGCATTAATTTCATAAAACTCTGAAGCTGTATTGGGTTGTTCCTCTTTTCATTCATTAAAATTTTTTTTGAACAGGTGAATTCTGCATTTTTGTTCTACCAAATCTCCACTATGTCACAGGAACACAACTTTTCTCATACCCTATTAACCAAGCTCAGGGTTGTAGAATTGGTAGAGTGGCAAGAAGAGCTGTCAAGAGAGAAGAAGTGAGATTTTCTATTCCAATCCATAGAGAGCATGTTTGGAATCTGAATAAAGACTGAGGAGTGAAGTACAAGTGTATTACATCTTTTAATTTTTGAAAAACATTTTCAGGAAACTATCAGAAGGAGCATGGGGAAAAGTTGATGTGAAAGGGATTCACAGGCATGAAAGGGAGGGATTTGTTTCAGTAACTGCGTAGTGACCTGTAAACTGTGAAAGATGAAATGGATGTATAGCCTGATATTTTTAGACTATTTGTTTAGCCAAGAATCTCTTGGTTCACACAAAATACTATTTAGATACCTAACTGAGTGATGAACAAAACAGAATTGCTCTTGGTTTTGTTCTTGTTATTGTTTGGTTGGGAAGTGTAATCAGCATCCCATTTTCGTGATTTCTGCTCCCTCAGATGTTTTAAATCAATGATTTTGTATGTCTCCACTTAATGTAGCTTAAGATGTGTAGTAATGTTTTTAAATTAAATTTTATGGCCCTTGAAGTCAAAGGCTACATTTTGACTCTGGCTTTATTCAGTGTCCAACAAACACATCATGTATATAATAACTACCCACATTGTTGGCCAAAAGCTACTAATTGACTATCTGCTAAAAGGAGAAGAGCGTACAATAATCTGCATGTCTTGTTTCTGGATCTGACTTTAACATTTTTCCTTACTAGGTAATTGGCTTATTTATTATTGTATCCACAGTACCTGCTTTGATATCTGCAAGCAGAACACACAGAAAAAAATGTGTGTTCTGCAAATGTGTGTTCTATGCACATTCTGCAGAGAGAAAAAAATGGATGAAAGGACTTCTCAGTTTTTAACTACATATTGGCTTCAATTAAATTTTGAAGCAGATTTTTATGGCATTTGGTAAAATTCAGCAACATCCATGCAAAGTGCTTGACCCTGAGTCTGGTAACCAGTATGCTTTCTCTGAAGCCAGACTGACCAAATCGAAATTCTGACTTTGCTGCATACTAGAAGGCTGACTTCTCTATGCTTCAATTCCTTTACCTATATACTAGAGAAAATAACAACACTTATTTCAAAGTGTTCTTATGATAATGTAATAAGCTAAAAAATAATAAAGCAGTACAGTGTTTGGCTCATAAAAAACTCTCAATTTTATTTTTATTACCTTCATAAAGACAGATTTTATTAATGTCTAGAGAGATTAGAACTTCCCTTTAGGCAGATAATATATAAATTAATCTTTTTTAAACAAAGGTGTTAGAGTTTCTTCAGAGAATAAAAGGACAAATTGAAATGCAGAATTTTCCAAGAAACAGAAAAGGAAATGTAAGTCTTAGGGAAATAAATCAACTAAGACTAAAGAGTATTTTACAAGCAAAGAGGAATTCAGGTGCGAAAAGCAGGCTTTTCTTTTTCCTTGCTACGAAATGATGCAGTGTGCTAAATAAACTTCTGTGACCTCTGAGGCCTGGGCCTTATCTTCTGCAATAGCAAGAAGAGTGAAGAGTTGTGGTCATTCATGTACTAATCATAAAAGCCAGCCCTTGTTTGGCACTAACCACATGGTAGGCCTTGCTTAGACCATGAGTCTAAATGCCTTATGTTTTAAATTTATTTAATTATCACAACAAACCTATAAAGTAGATACAGTTAATAGGATTATTTTACAAATGAGGAAACTGAGAAAAAGATAAAGGTGTTGTGTTCAGGTCACATAGTGGTGAGGATCAGAACCCAAGAGATCTGAGCACAGAGTATATTTCCCAAAGAAACACATTTTGCAAAATAATTTTTTAAAAGTCTTTATTCTTTTAGAGTTGTTTTATGCTCACAGAAAAATTGAGAGGAAAGTACAGAGATTTTTCCATATGTCCTCCCAACCTATGAATGCCCTCCTTCATTATAAACATCTCTACCAGAGGGGTATATATGTCACAGTCTAGAAACCTACATTGACACCTCATGATCACCCAAATTCCATAGTTTACATTAGATTCCCTCTTGGTTTTGTACATTTTATGGGTTTGGATAAATGAATAATAACACATATACATCATTACAGTATCATGCAAAGTATTTCCATGGCCCTAAAAATCCTCTGTGCTCAGCCTACTCACTCCTCTCCCCACTCCCAGCCCTTGAAAACCACTGATCTTTTTATTTTTTCTGTAATTTTGCTTTCTGCAGAATGTCGTATAGTTGGATTCACACAGTATGTATGATTGGCTTCTTTAACTTAGCAGTGTGCATTTAGGTTCTTCCATGTCTTTTGCAGCTTAATAACTCATTTTCTTTTTAGTACTGAATAATTTTCCATTGTTCTGGATGTACCGCAGTTTGTCCATTCATCTTCTGAAAAACATCTTGGTTACTTCCAAATTTTGGCAATTATGAGTAAACATGAAGAAACATTCATGTGCAGGTTTTTGTGTCAACATAAGTTTTCAACATCTTTGGGTAAATACAAGGAGCTCAACTGCTGAATCATATGGTAAGAATATATTTAGTTCTTTAAGAAACTGACAAACTGTCATTCAAAATGACTGTACCATTTTGCATTCCTACCAGCAATGAATGAGAGTTCCTGTTGCTCCACATCCTGGTCAGCATTTGGTGGTGTCAGTATTCCAGATTTTGATGAATCTAATAGGTGAGAAGTGGTATCACATTGTTGCAGAAGAAATTTTAATCTTATATTTTTTGATGCTTCAGAGTAGGTAGTTTTTAACTTCTGGATAAGGAGCAGTCTCTACTCTATTTGGAAGCTCATGAAGTTTTTGATATAGCCAAATATCTTTCCACTTCAGGCCCTCTTTGAGGCTTTCTGTGCTTCCAGTGGACTGATTTGCTTCTTGTTACTGACAGGATGCTTTAGCTTGATATCTGAAACATGCGTATTTCTTAATCTTGTTCTCATATCTGAGCCTCCAAGGACTCTTATGTGTAGCTTTTTATTTTCAAATTTTCATTGAACAATTTACTTTCTATAGACTATCCGAAAAGCTCAGTAATTATAAATATCTACCTGTCTACCTATCATTTATTTGTATTTCTATTGTCTCTCCATCCATCCACCCTTCCACTCATAAGTTGTAGATTGTCACCTCATCCTTTTCCTCGACTCTGTGTAACATAGTCATTTATAGATCCAGTAGTATGCACTGAGATGATGACTCCTGGTATAGATTATCTATGTAATTTTGGACTCATACATTTTAGCCTCTAGCTGCTAAATGACACAGGAGACTTAAAAAAATAAGATAATTTATATTTCTTACAAAGAGGGTAATATAATACAGAGACAAAAATGCATGTCAAAACAATTTTTGACTATTTTAAAACAATAAAATTTCACATTGAATAGAGTTTCCAGTTTGCAATTTCACAAGTTTTTTTTTTTATTTTTGACAACAACCCCTGTTAATAATGTGAATATTATCATTATATTATTATATTAGGAATAATGATGAGTGTCTCTGAAGAACCTGGAAATAAGGGAAATATTTTTTTCTGCAAGTATTAATTTTTTAAATCAACATTTATTAGATAAGAAAAGAGATAAGCAGAGACACCTAGAAGACTCAACTTGAACTTGATAGTGTATAGCCTTATATTTAAAGAAATTTTGCAAAATGGGGATTGACAAGTGATGAATATAAAGATCATATAATTACAGAGGATAATATTGCAAATAAATACTACCTCAAGCACTCTCCACAAAAGAGAGGCTTAAAAATGGATGTGGACTATTATTACAACTTCATTGTCAAGATACTATTATGACATTAAAACATATGGCTATGTGACTCTGATCTATCAACACTTTAATTTGCCTAACTGATTTGTGTAGCTTCCACTTTTGCCAAATAAGCTACTTACGTTATGGCCTCCCCTGTCAATCTGACAAGAGAGAAAGGACTGATTTTGCAGCTTTAGGAATACTTGGTTATAGGATAGTTATTGTATCAGTTGGATATTTTGGGTTGCAAGCAACAGAAGCCTCCTTGTGCTAACTAAAGGCAAAAATACAAAACAAAAACACTAAATGAAACATGTAAATTAATAACAAAGATGTGTTCTCTCCAGCACTCGTTTTTCATCTCTTTGTGGATGATTCCTTTTTCTCTATAAAAAATTACTTCGGTTTCCCTAACTACAAGGGAATTACAAGACTACTACTTCAGAATTCCCTAGCGTACATAGTTTAGATTTAGCCAAATAGAAAATTTCCTATTTTATTTTTTAATATTGAAGTATAATCAACATAAAACAAACTGTGCCTATTTAAAATGTATCATTTGAAAAGGTTTAATGTGTAAACTCATTCTGTCTTCACCACAATCAAGATAATGAACATATTCAACATCCCCCAAAGTGTGTTTTTCCTTTTTTAATCCCTCCCTCTCTTTCCTACCACACCCTGCTCTCCAGGCAACTACTGACTTTTCTGTCAATATACATTGATGTGCATTTTCTAAAACTTTTATACATGGAAAAATACTGTTTAATTATTTGTTGCTTGTGTTTTGGTTTAGTTTCTTTTACTCTATATAATTATTTTGATATTCATCCATGTTTTTACCTGTATCAATAATTTATTTCTTTTTATTGCTTACTAATATTCTATTTTATGTATATATTACAATTTTCTAATTTGTATGCCAGTCAATGACATTTGTGTTTTTACCAGATTTGCTTTAAAAATATAAGCTGCAATACATATCAGTGTGCAAGTCTTTATATAGATGCATGCTTTCATTTCACTCAACTAAGAGTAAGATGGATGAGTCACATGGTAGATGTATGTGTAAATATATAAGAAATTGTCTTCCAAAGTAGTTGTGTATTTTTCATTTCCACCAGTAGTGCATAAGAGTTCCAGTTCCTCTGCAGACACATCAAAATGTGTATAACTTATATAAGTAAATATTTTTAACTTTAGCCATTCAAGTAAGTGCATAGTGGTATCACGTTGTGTTTAATATTAACTTCCTTAATAGTTAATGATGGTGTGCATCATTTCATGTGTTTATGTACACATTTTTCATAAATGCCTTTTTGTATTACTTTCCCCTCTTTTAGCAGACTGTTTGTCTCCTTGTTGTTGATTTTTAAGAGTCTTTATCTCTTCTGGA